TTACACGCATATTTTACGTACATCTTTATAATAATTTTGCATTAGTTATTTATAATTATTATTTAATAATTATTTCATTTTAGAGTTTAATAATTAATTAGTTAAATAAGTATTTTCTAATAATATTTAGTTTTTTTTTTTTTTTTTTTTTTTTTTTAGGGGAAAGGAGGGGTACACCCGAGGTCAGTATCTGACCCTCACTATAACATCACTGCCAAGAAGACCGATCTCATCTTCCCAGTCTTTGCATGTTAGGAGAAGCTGGAGCAAAAAAACGTTCCTCACCATCATCATCGAAAGCACATCTGACAACTAAGTCTGCCACTCTATTTTGTTCTCTTGGGATGTGTCTGAAAATAACTTCCCAATTCCACGTTTTGGCTGCTCTGCAAAGTTCTTCTAAGTTCCTGCCCACACTGTCATACTCGTCATTCCCACATATCAGGTTGATTGCTCGTGCATTATCCGCTTCGACTATGACTTTGTTGAAGCCTCGATTCCTCGCATGCTTGAGCCCTTTGTAGATGCCCCAGAGTTCAGCTTCCAGTGGTCCGCACGAGCCCAATCTTTTGGAGAAAGTCATCTGGAGTGCTTCGTTCTCATCCCTGATAACGCCCCCGCAAGTTGCTTCATTGTGTCTGGTGCAGCTTCCGTCAGTATTCAACTTTACCCATCCAGTAGGCGGAGGGGTCCATGGACTGCACCTTCTATTATCCTCTCTCGTTTGTCCTTTCAGACCAGAGCTTCTTTCGAGGGCCGCTTTGCTATCGCTGAACTGCTTCCGAAGCCATCCGACTTTCTTTCTCAGATGGATTTCCTCGTTGTTAAAAATGCGGTTGTTTCTCCACCGCCAAATCCACCAGACGGTTGTGGCAAATCTTGTGCTCCGCCTCTTTCTTGCATTTCCACTACTATTGTTTCCTGCCATGTTAGCATCAAGCTAATTCTCAAAATCAGCCGTAAAGAAGTTACCTTGCGTACTTGTCACGTTGATCCTCTCCCAAATTTGTCTGGCGGCTGGACATTTTCTGATCACATGATCGGCGTCTTCTTTTACAGCACCGCATACGCTACAACTCTCGTTTTGAGTAAAGCCTCGTTTCCTCCTTTCTGCATTGCACATGATCCTTCCCTGTTTGATAAGCCACATAAAGTTCCAAATTTTGTTAGGGACTCTTAGAGACCAAACCTTGTCCCAGCCTCCCTTGAGCCCCTTATCATAATCCTTGTTTGTTGATACTATCACATCTGTACTTGTTTTTATAGTTATTTTAAATCATCTCGGTAATTAAATTCTTTAATTTTGCTTATTTAATACATGTTTCCTTGCTATTATCATTTAATTATGGTTCACACTCATTTTGAATGTTTTACGATGTTTGTTAGTGTTTTTGAACCATTGTAGGTCAAAGTTATGAGCAAGAGAAGTACTGGGACAAAATTAGAGTCAAAGTGGATCGAATGACACCTACACAGTACATTCGACGCGTCCAAAATTTCCAGAAAGTTTTCCGGTCGAGACCATCAGGTCTCGATGCGTCGAGCATTACCTTCGACACGTCGAGAATGTGCCAAAGGAATAGAAGACGCCGATTGATTCGTCTCCAAATTGATTTCAAAAGAAATTGCTGCTTACTAAATTATGAAGGCACAATTCCCATTTTTTAAAAGTGGTTTTAATTAGGAGTGTGCAAACTTCGGATAATTTTCGGTTAACCGACCGAACCGACAAAGTTCAGTTAACCGTTTTCGAACCAAACTTTTTCGCTTCGGTTAATGGTTAAAGGAATTTTAAAACTTCGGTTAACGGTTAATTCGGTTCGAAAAGTCGGTTAACCAAAGTTTTTAATATATATATAAATAATAATATAAATATATATACTAATTTAAAGTTATGGATGCTTGGAGTTTATAATTAATGTTTTTTGTTATGAATTTATTATGATATATATTTTATTTTAATTGGATTTATTATTTTAGGTGTTATTTTTTGAATTTTAAATTTTAGCATTAAAAAGTTCGGTTAACCGACCGATTAACCGAAAAAAATTTCGGTTCGGTGAATTCGGTAGAGCAAATTTCAGTTCGGTTAACGGTTAAAGGAAAAAAAACTTCGGATAATTTGGTTCGATTAAAACAGTTCGGTTAACCGATTGAACACCCCTAGTTTTAATTTCCAAAAGCAAAGCTACAGTAACATTCCTAATCATAATTACGGCAATTTCCTAATTATATTAGGAAAGTTCATATTTCGTCCCAGCTTTGTATCTACTATAAAATCCCATCTTCCTCAATCCTAATGAAGACAAGTAGTTTAGTTTAGAGTAAATAATTAGAATAGATAATCTACAATTCATAGTTTAGAATTCAGAGATTCTTGGAGACAAGAAGGAGAGAAATCAAGAGCCACACGCGGTCTTGGAAAGCAAGAAGAAGACTAAGGAGATTTGAGAAAATCGTTTTGTTAATTCTTGTACTATTTTGATGATTTGTAATTCTGTATTTATATTTGCTATGTATAATTTAGCCATGCTTGGCTAAATTCTTTAGAGATTCTTGGGTAAAAGTGTTTATGAACCTATGTGCCTGAGCTCTCAGTTTCTTTAATATATTATTATTTGGGTTTAATACTTGTGTTGCAATCGTGATATTATTGTTTGATGCTTGTAATTAATGGTCATAGTTACTTGTTTCGTTTGCTTTGTTTGTGTCACCAATGGGAGTTGGGGCATAAATTAGGGCACACACGATTGCACCTAATGGTTGGACTTTGGGAAAGAGAATTTATTGGGGGAATCTTATTCTAGATTGTTGCGCATCGGGAGATGATAATAATTGGAAATAATTGAATGCTGATCTTCGATCTTATCGGGTGTTTAAGCCACAGGAGTGGAAATTCACTAGGGATAGAATTGAAATTACGGGAGTAATTCTGTTCCACTTTGCATTCCCATACAAGTCTTAATTTCAAACTAAATATTACAAACGTTAATTGGCACTAGGTGATTAAATACTTGAATCCCATGAATCTCATCTTCGCTCTTATTGTTTTCAAAATCCTGAACCTCTGTTTTATTTTATTTATTTTATGCCAATCGATCATCTAAGTAATTGTTAGGATTAGCTCTAATGAATAAGTTAGTAACTAGTGCTTGATACAACCACTTCCCTGTGGATCGATAACTCGTACTCCGAGAATTATTTGTTTGCAAATATACTACGCATCAACTTGGCGCCGTTGCCGGGGAGGTGGCGTTTCTAGTATCTCAAGTCTTCCTCGAACTCTTTCCAAGATATTTTTGCAATGGTCCGTCGTGATCCGTCCGTGAAGGAATGGGACTCCAAGGTATCTCCCGAGGTCATCCGTTTTTGGGATTCCAGCAACATCCGCTAACTTCACAGCCTCTTCCCTGTTCAAATTTTTGGAGAAAAACACATTAGATTTCTGTTTATTGATTTTTTGTCCAGAGGCCTTACAAAAAGTGTCCAAGCACTCCATGACAGTCCTCATTTGGGCGTCGTCGGCCTCGGCAAAAAAGACCATATCATCCGCGAAGAGCAGATGAGAGATAGTCGGTCCTTCATTTGCCACTTTGATCCCTCTCCAATGGCCGCGAGTCACTGCATCAGTGATTAAATGGCCTAATTTTTCAATACAAAGAACAAATAAGTAAGGAGAAATAGGGTCTCCTTGTCTAATTTCTCGTCCTGGCTTGAAAGTGTCGAGATTCTCTCCATCCCAGAGAATCGACATTGTGGACGACTCGACACAGTGCATGATATTGCGCACCAAGTTGTTGTTGAAGCCTATTTCCTGAAGCGTGGTTCGGATGAAATCCCAACTCAGCCTGTCGTAAGCCTTTTCCATATCAATCTTGAGAACCATAAAACCTTTCTTGCTCTTGGTGCTCCTAATCATGTGTAGAGTTTCTTGGTAGACCACAATGTTGTCCGCGATTTGCGAGACGAAGCTGCTCTGGTTCGGGCTAATAAGGTTTGGCATCACCGTCTTTATTCTATTTGTCATAACTTTCGTGATCAGTTTGTAGGCAACATTGCATAAACTGATAGGTCTCAGCTGACTTATCTTTTCGGGGTTATTAACCTTAGGGATGAGGGCGATATTCGTGTGGTTTATCCCCTCTGACATAACGCCACTTTCGAAAAACATTTTTACCAGATTGACGAGACTTTCCCAATCAAATCCCAAGACTTTTGATAAAACAAGGCGGTAAAACCATCCGGTCCGGGAGCTTTGACCGGAGGCATCCACTTGAGAGCTTCTTTGACTTCATTAATTTCTATCTCCTTATTTAAATGCCTCCAACGGCTGTCATCAATTCTGGGATAAGAAGAATGCTGCAAGTTTTTTAATTCCGATAGGCGCAGCAACGTGGGAGAGGAATTCATTATTCATCAAAAGTCTTCGCCGCATCATGTGTTACAAAGACACGTTCTCCCAGTTAATCATTTATGACCAACACCTAGAAAAGTAAAACATCTAGAAATGTCAACACTATCTGCATCAACTTAAATCCTGAATTATTGAAACTTCAGATAGTGGATAGACTTGCGTCTAGGATTACCTTGCCTATCATCTCTTTTTTCGTAAACGGCGGAGGGGTGGTGATACTAATATGGGATGGGTTTGTGGCATTTCGTATGTTTTATTATCCGCCATTCTCTGCAATGTTGGAGGGAGCACTGACAGTCTCCGACCCGGCAACTCGGTTACTCGAAACCGGACCTTAGTCTCCGCCGGCGGGGACTTCGCGTTAGGATTCTTCCGCCCCGGGAACTCTTCTTCTTCCTTTCTCGGGATATGGTACAATTCCATCAACAAAACTGTGATCTGGGTCGCTAACAGAGAATCTCCACTGCGTCAAGATTCTGAAGCCGTTTTCACGCTCGGGTATGATGGGAATTTGCAGCTTTTGGACGGCGGCGGAAGAAATATTATATGGTCAACCAATATCTCAGGCGGCGGCGGCGGCGGAGGCGGAGGATCCACGGCCGCTCAACTGCAAGATACGGGAGATCTTGTTGTGAAGCAGGGTGAGAGCATTGTTTGGGAAAGCTTCAATGGCGACAGTGATACAATAATGCCGGGGATGAGGCTAAAGGTAAACAAGAAAACCGGAAAACGGAACGTGATAAGATGTTGGAGTAGCAGTAATGATCCCCGGCCAGGGAAATTCTCCTGGGGAATTGATCCTAAAGGATCTCCGCAGATGTTCATTTGGAAAGAAAACACTCCTTATTATAGGACCACCTTGCATCAAGAAGGGTTTACTTACAGTATTTACTTCCCCTCAGGGGGGTATGGATATTATTCTTATGCTACAGAAAATGATGAACTGTATATCAGCTATGGATTTGCTAACACCTCAGTTCAAGCAAGGTTCCTCTTGACTCCGGAAGGTCATATTCAGACTCTGTTGAGGCCAAAAACAAGTGAAAAATGGCAATTGCTGTGGCAGGCGCCAGCCAATGAGTGTGAATTTTATGCACGGTGTGGTTCATTTGGAAGCTGTGAGAGCTACGATTCACACCCGGTTTGCAGTTGCTTGAAAGGGTTTAAACCAAAATCACAGAAAGATTGGGATAAGGGGAAGTATGATGGAGGGTGTGAGAGGAGCATAGCGTTGGGGTGTGGAGAAGCTGATACATTCATGAGGCTGCCTATGATGAAATGGCCTGACCATTCATCTTCACTGGCAATTATGACATTTCAGGAATGCCAAATGGAGTGTTCTAAGAACTGCTCGTGCACCGCTTTTGCGTATGCAAATATCTCTACTAACTCAGTAGTAAATTGTATAAACTGGTTTGTTGACTTAGTCGATTTGGCAAATAACTATACATCTGGAGGTTTCGCCCAAGATCTTTATGTTCGTGTTCATTCATCTGAGCTAAGTAAGTAATATAGGGCTGGTGCTTATTGTCTTTTCATTCTAGTTCTGAGTTACGTTTCAGAGGACTGCTATGAAATATAGGACTGATATGATGTTAATTAATATAATGCAGATGGAAGCAGTGGAAATGATGATTCACCTCACAGAAACAAACGTCGTCTTGTTGCAATAATAGTTGCCTCAGTCTCTTCATTCTTTCTTCTTACTGTTTTGGTGTATATCCTCACCTGGAAATACTGTGGAAGAAAAGGTATGTATACAGTTAACTAACTCCTAGCTATCAAGTATCAAATGCTGAGCTTATAGTTATTTTGGTTCACATCAACTTATGTTCATTTCCAGGTTGGGTTTCTAAAAGGGCTACATTGTCAACTGCACCCCTTCTTGGAAATGATCATATAGAGTTGCTACAACTTAGTTTGTTGAGAATAATTGATGCTACAAACAACTTCGATGAAGCAAACAAACTTGGAGAGGGTGGTTTTGGCCCTGTATATAAGGTCACTATTTCATGATAATTGTTTCACACTCTCCGACACAATGGTTTTTCTTTATGTTGGAGTAAGATCGAGTTTATAGTCTTGTTATTTTTCCTTAGGGATTTTTATCAGAATTTGGGATGGTAGCCATCAAGAGACTATCCAAGCAATCATCTCAAGGTTTGAAGGAGTTCATGAATGAGCTGAAGCTAATTGCAAAACTACAGCATACAAATCTTGTGCGCCTATTGGGTTGCTGCATTGAGGGTGAAGAAAAAATATTAATCTATGAGTACCTGCCCAAGACAAGTCTAGACAAGTTCTTATTTGGTACATCTCTTTTCTATGACTTAAATTTCAAGGTTTCATTTTCTTGGAACTTTGAAATTCCATTAACAAAATTTCTATGTTTCTCTCAGATGCAATTCAGCAAGATAAGTTAGATTGGAATACACGTATTCAAATAATAGAAGGAGTTGCACAAGGAATTCTTTATCTTCACAAGTACTCTAGGCTGAAAGTCATTCACCGGGACTTAAAAGCAAGTAATATTTTACTTGATGAAGCAATGAAACCCAAAATATCAGATTTCGGAATAGCAAGAATTTTTGGTATTGACCAAACTCAGGCGAAAACAAATCATGTGGTTGGAACATAGTAAGTTTAGTTAGAATTCATCTTGATTAGCAAATGAGTAAATTGATAACTTTACAAGTACATAATATATGTCATGTTTAGTTATGTAAATATTTCTATAGCTAATATATCTTCATTTTTTTACTTAGTGGTTACATCCCGCCGGAATACGTATTGCATGGTCAATTTTCTGAAAAATCAGATGTATTCAGTTTTGGAGTGCTGCTATTGGAAATTGTTAGTGGCCAGAAGAATTCTAATTTTTTTCGAACTCAACTTTCTTTAACTCTCATAGGATGGGTAGGCATTTTTAATAACTTCATGACTTTGGATATATAAATTATATGTAGATCCAAAGAAATAGATGTTATGATTTATTTTAATTTTTATTCTATTAGGCATGGAAAAACTGGAAAGATGGACAACCACTTGAATTTGTTGATATAGCAATAAAAGAATCGTGTGACTCTCTCAAGGTCATAAGGTGCATCGAGGTGGGACTTCTATGCGTTCAAGCAATTCCAACGGATAGACCAATTATGTGTGATGTAGTTCAAATGTTGAGCAGTGACCATGCAACACCAATTCCACAATTCAAAGAACCTGCATTTGTTTTTAGCCAATCCAATTCCATTGTTTGTACTTCTCATCCTAATTCTAAAAATGAGATTACAATTAGTATTCTCGATCCTCGATAAAGGATCTGTCATCTTTTGTAAATATTTTATGCCATTGTCAGTTCTTATACAACTCTTTCGCCTGTAATATCTTCTCGTCATTTTGTTTCATGGCTTTTATAGAGTTTACATCTTATTGAATCTTTAACTACTCTATTGAATTGTAAAACGATTTTTTCAATTGAAGTTCTCTTATGTTCAATTAAGTCTATCGAACAATTACATCTGTTGTTTTGTGTAAGATTTTCATGTCATCATCAGGAGATCAGGAGAATGAGAGCTAATAGAGTTGTGTATTGAATGGTATGATACAGTGTGTAGATTATAGGTATATATAAGAAGGAAGTCTTAGAGAGACTGTGATAGGGAATCATAATCAAACTCAAATACATAGAGTCCTAATACTTCCCCTCAAGCACAAGGTACATTGGTGACTTGTAGCTTGTCCCTAAGAAACGAGAACCGAGGACCGGGTAGAGCCTTTGTAAAGATATCTGTCAACTGATCCTTGGTTGAAATAAAGTTAACCTGTATATCACCATTCGCAACTCTGTCTCTCTAACAAAATGGAAGTCAATTTCTATATGCTTGGTTCTAGCATGAAAAATAGGGTTTGCACACATATGTAGCTCCAAGATTATCACACCAAAGCTTGGGAGAGGGCACATCGGTTATGCCAATTTCTCGTAGACGCGAGAGAGTCCAGATTACCTCGGCATAGACATATGGTAAAGCTTTATACTCGGCTTCAGTAGATGATCTAGCAACAGTCTGTTGCTTCTTGCATACCCACGATATAAGATTAGAACTAAGAAAAACTCCATACCCACTGGTTGATTTACGATTTTCAGGATAGCCCACCCAATCAGAATATGAGAAAACATGTAATTCTCTGGATACTGATCGCCGAATTCGCAAACCAGAAGTGATAGTTCGCACTACTACAGAAAATAGCTTTAACTTCGGCTAAATGACCCTAGGTCGGCTAACGTACGACGTTGACTAAAGCGACGTTGTAAGAAAATAAACGACGTCGGTTATATAACCGACGTCGTATGTATTTTAAAATTAAGAAATAAAGATACGACGTCGGCTAATAGCCTATTAGCCGACGTCGTATGTATTTTTTAAAAAATTAATAATGATACGACGTCGGCTAATAGCCTATTAGCCGATGTCGTATGTATTTTTTTTAAAAAAAATATACATACGACGTCGGCTAATAGCGTATTAGCCGACGTCGTATGTATTTAAAAAAATAATAATGATACGACGTCGGCTAATAGTCTATTAGCCGATGTCGTATGTATTTTTAAAAAAAATAATAATGATACGACGTCGGCTAGTAGCCTATTAGCCGACGTTGTATCATTATTTTAAATAATATATAATTATACGACGTCGGCTAATAGGCTATTAGCCGACGTCGTATGTGTATATTTTTTTTTTATATTAAAAATGTTGGATGCTTTCTAGCCCAACCTGCTGTATCAATCAGAACCTGTGCAGCTAGTTACATTCAACATCAACATCAACTAATTCAAGCTACGTACTAAACATGAAATTAATTAAGCTACTAAAAATAATATTAATATAAATAACACAATCTACATAAACTACTATAAACACAATCAACATCAACTAATTCAAGCAACAAAACTACTAATTAACATCAACCCAATAAACACAAAGTAGTTTTAAACATAAAGTAGTATCAATTGAGCAACGTTTTATTAACCCATTCATCAATAAGAAACTTAGACCACTTGTTTCTAAGGTCATCAATCTCTTGTTTGTAGTAGGGCAATCTTCCTTGTCTTTCCAAAATCTACAAAGTTCAAAAAAATAAAAATAATAAATAAGCAAATATTTTAAACAACATTTGAAGAAGAAATATGTATTATTAAATTGCTTGCCTTATCCATTCCTTTGCTTAGGTTGTTGGAAACAATTTCCCACATGAATTTCATCACATAATAACCACATTCGGTGCTTCCTTGGAAACAATTTCCCACATGAATTTCATCACATAATAACCACATTCGGTGCTTCCTTTTTGTATAGCACACTACATTTGAATTACAATAAAATTAGCTAAAAGTAATAAAAAACAATACGTTTGCATGTTTTACAAAGTGAAAGAAGTACTTACCAAACATGTAGTACATTTCGGTGGACGAGATTGTTTCTTTCCACTCATCATGCTTGTTGCAGCCATACACCTATTCATATAAGACATAAAATATATGTAAATATTTGGCATCACTAGTTTAATAATAACTATTAATTCATTATATAAATTTACATACGTTCCCATTATATGTTTAATGTCTTCACGCGGCCCATGACCAAGTGAATCAAACCAAAAAATTTCATTTAATCTAGGACAAATCGCCATCAGCATCTAATGCTCACTACAAATAAGTAATTTATTAGTTATAAGTAAATAAGTAAATATTATATATAATAAAAATATATTATATATAAGCACTTTAATTTAAAACGTAATTAAAACTTACTTGAGAACGTATGGGGCTAAATATACATTTTTCTTCTCATACTGCATGGTGGCATTTATATATGATTTCCTTTCTTCTGTATTATTCATTTTTGGTTGAATCCAATATGAATCTAGGAAGCCATACGTGTCTTTTGATGCCAACTCAAAATTGATGTAAATACCGCTATTCACAAACACAACCAATATAATCATACATAGATTACCAATTATATAAATATAAAACTGTTATAAATGCATAAATAATCATAAAGAACTTATTATTACCTTATAAAGAACTGAACTAGAGAAACATCGATGGTGTCCATACTTAAGAAACGCATTATCTCCACACTTTCAAGGTGCAAGTCATAATCAATCTTGCCCATAATATCACGAGCCACATGGATCACAAGATTCCGTTCGAAACGGTGAGCTATTGTAAAAGCCTTTTTGCAATCAGCAGTCAAAGAATCTGGAACAACACTACTGTCCATGGTATTGTCTTTTAACTGTGAATTATAATACAAGTAAGAATTATTATTTTAAAAAGTAAATTACTTATTATTTTAAAATAGAAATATTATCAGTATACATACCGCATTAGCTTCAGTACATAACTCTACCAGCTTCTTTGGCCAAATGATAAAGTGTTCAATTGCATCATTTACAAGCTGAACCTCACTGGTGGGGAATGGTACACGTGCAGTTGGATCACGAACTTCATTTACACTCACTTTCACATTATTTACATCCAGTACAACCCCATGAACTTGTCCACCACTGTAAGCTGTCACATATGCCACTGGACGTCTAATTGGATCTTCTAAGAACAATTGACATCGTGCCCCTAACTACAATAATTTTTAATTAAAAATCTTATAAAATTTTATTGATAAATAATAATAAGATAACTATAAACGAATACTTACAGCCGGTAAATTACTAAAAGGGTCTGGGGAATTAGCTTTGTCACTTGGAGGTGGTGGCACAGTATCCACACATACGTCATCCACCTGCTTTGGTTGTAAAGGAGTCTGCATAGCACTAAATTGCAACATCATACTAGCTATTTTTGCCTCAAATTGCTCTGCTAATCGTTGACCAAATTCCTCCCGTTTAGAAATATTTTCCTGCTTTTGTTTTTCTAACGCTACTGCAACAGCAGCACCAACAGCAGCATCAACGATTTGTTGAACATCTTGAGGAGTCTTTTGGAGACGTTTTGCATGGCCAAATACACTTTTGATGCCATGTCCTCTTCCCATGGCTTTAACACGTCCACAATGCTCATCGGTACCCAATGCAACAGTCAATGAATCCTTTCTTCCATCCTCAACAAATTCTCCTTGAAAAATTTGCAACTCAAGAGCATCCTAACATATATAAAAATTATTCAATAATAATTACTATTACTGTAGTAAATGACAAGATATGTACTTACAATTTTTTCCGCCACCAATCTAGTTGAATCAGTGCGATAATTTCCTGACTTGTCCATTCTTGCTTTCTTCCATTTTTCGGCTCTACGTATGGGACTTGGAGGAGTCATTGTATACGACGGATCTGCATCAGCACATGCTTGTTGTTCTTTCAACTTCTCGTCCATCATCATCTTCTCCAACCTTTTATAACCTCCTCGAGATAAAAGATGTGGATGAATATTCTTAGCCTGTATGTCTTGATATTTTTTCCTTGTTGCCTACATACATACAAAATATTAATCATAGACTCAACTCCTGCCAAATATTCAGTACAAAACTCAGTAACCTCCTCAGCAACATAGCTTTCAACAATAGATGCTTCCGGCCTATATCGGTTCCTAACATAACCTTTTAATACTTTCATGTACCGTTCAAATGGGTACATCCACCTCAAATAAGCTGGACCGCAATGTTTGATCTCTCTAACCAAATGCACAAGCAAATGAACCATGATATCAAAAAATGAAGGTGGAAAGTGCATCTCTAGCTGACACAGTGTAACAATAATTTCATTTTGCAACTCATCTAATTTGTCTGGATCAATAACTTTTCCAAAAATTGCATTGAAAAAGAAACAAAGTCTTATGATGGTGTATCTCAACTTTTTAGGCAATATGTCTCTAACAGCCACTGGCAATAGTCGTTGCATTAAGACATGACAATCATGAGACTTCAACCCCACCAATTTTAAATCATGCATATTAACAAGTCTACTGATATTTGATGAATACCATTGTGGTACCTTTACTCCACGTAAACACTCACAAAAACTTATTTTCTCCTTTCTTGATAAAGTATGAGCAGCGGGAGGCAAATATGTTTTCTTACCCTCGGAACGTGGAGCTAATGTAGGCCGTATACACATTTCAACCAAATCCAATCTAGCATTGAGTCCATCTTTAGACTTACCTTTTATGTCTAAAAGAGTTCTAACCAGACTATCACATACATTTTTCTTCACATGCATCACATCAATACTATGTCTCACATCTAGTGTCTTCCAATATGGAAGATCAAAGAATATAGATTTCTTTTTCCACGGACTCTTCTC